TGATCACGCTCTGAGTTCGTGCTAGGTATTGTTGGACACACGGATAATCACGGTCAGTCTGCGTTTCATAACCTGATCACGCTCTGAGTTCGTGCTAGGTATTGTTGGACACACGGATAATCACGGTCAGTCTGCGTTTCATAACCTGATTACGCTCTGAGTTCGTGACAGGTATTGTTGTACACGTCTTAAGCGCATGGACAGTGGCTGGTTGTCACGTCACTGATCACGCTCTGAGTTCGTGCTAGGTATTGTTGGACACACGGATAATCACGGTCAGTCTGCGTTTCATAACCTGATCACGCTCTGAGTTCGTGTTGTACCTTGAGATAGTAAGAGGTCATTCTGACCTGATTCGAACAATGGCTGGAATTCGTGGTCAGATATGAAACGGGCCGCGCTATTTTTGGAGAACATGCGTGGGAGAGAGGAAATGGCCATTCTTCCTTCTCACGCAAGGATGCTTGTTAGAGAGTATAAAATTGGGGGAGTTCCTGGTCTTGGCAGAGTCTGCCGTGGGTCGCGTACGAACGCCCAGCCACGTGATTGCTGCTCTGCCCGGACTGACGGCTGTCCGGTCCATGTGTCAAGGTAAGAGCGAAATATATCAGAGGACAATACATAGGATCACGTATGAGTGTATGAATGATGGCTTTGCTGTGCAGCATTGCTTTGCTGTAATCTGTGGCGGAATAAAAGGACACATTTATTCTAGCAGACCAGCGTGTTGACTCATTCTTGTTGCCGATCACCTCCGATCCTGTCTAAAATTGCACAAAACACTCTACCACATTTTGTAATTTCATAAGATCAGCCATGTTACAATGTCCTAATATTTCATGCCATGTTTTCAGATCACAAGCTAGCTTCATTTTATCTCTGTTCATCATGTCGTTTAAGTTTTCCTCAATGCATCTTTAATTGTTGCTTTTCATCCTCAAGTAATACAGTTTCTCATGTGCCTCGATAGGGAGTTCTATTAAGCTTGGTGTCGGGCAGAAGATTCCGGCTGACTTTGAACATCATGGCCTGGTCCGCCACATGGTTGTTCTGCATGTCTGAAGTCTACTTGGCATCATCTTTCAGTTTCGATTTTCCTCTGCATGTCTTGTCACTATGAGTTGTACTTCTGTGGTAGTTGCACCATTTTGGCGCGGTCTTTTGGCGGCAGTCTCTCGCCATGTGCCCGCGCTGTCCACAGTTGTAGCAGTTTACAGTTGTCATGTCCACTTTCATTACATTATCTGACTTCGGTTTGCTTTCAAACTTTTCTGTCTCTTCATATCTTCGAAGTCTGCTCTTAAACTGAGTGAACGTCAAGTCTTCACTGCTCTGTGTTGTGTGAATAGCAAAAGGCTTGTATGATTCCGGGAGTCCCTTCAGAATCATTGCTATTATTACTCCATCACTAATAACCTCTTTTGCATTTCTCAGAGACGTTATTCAGCACGTAAAACATAGTCTGTCACTGTTTTGCCGGGTTCTTTTAACAGGGACGTGAGCTCTGTTTAAAGGGCGATGATCTTGGGCTTACCCTGGCTGGTGTAATGGCCACGTAATATCTGCAGAGCTTTCTTCCCATTGTCGGCGGTATCTCTCATCACCAACGACAGGCTATCATCGAGGACCTGGATTAGTTCTGCGTAACATTCCGCATTTTTCTCTTCATCTGGGCCCGCGGTAGAGAGGATGGTGTCTTTTAAGTCTAGCGTTCTTAAGTAAGTGAGGAACTTTACCTCCCAGAGTTAGTAGTTGTTTTCGTCTTGGTTGAAAACTAGTCTGTTCCATCGTCCTCCTGTGCGGTGCCTGGGCCCATAACCTGTTGTGTTTTCTTGTTCAGTACTCATCTTTAAAATGAATCACACTTCTTTTCGCTAGATAGCTGTATTCACTTTATTGCTAATGTTCAGCCTTCAGTTAACTTCATCTCTACTTCTCTTTGTTAGAACAGTGCTGCCTTTACACAAGAACTCGCTCTCATTTCACCCCGGTGGACAACAGCAGTACAACACGCACATAAACAAAGTGACAGGATACAGAACTTGCAGCTTTACTTTTCAAAGTAAATTAGAAATCATGAACACATAACACAAAATAACTCAAAGACAAGTTAAGATGAGAACATATTCTAACATTTTTAACTTCTCAATACATTTAATTATGATTCATCTGATGTTCAAGTTATACTGAGAACAAATAAAGCTGTATTCCTTCTTATCTGACTGGTTCTAGTTTTAATCAAACCTTCCATGTTTTCACATTTTGGTCACTAAGAATTGTTCGAGGGATTAAAAGTTTAAACTCAGTCTTATTTATCACTAATTAAGGTTACAGGTTTTGGACACATTTTCTCATTTTCTTGCATTGAAGATTCTCCAGGCAGACAGCTAAACAGTGAGTGGACAGAAGGATGTGCAAAGTAGAAATGCACAAATATGACTTGTATTTTGGGTTCAGCAACCCTAATAATAATGTCAAAATGTTTGGTTTGCTGAATAATGTATTCACTTTTGTAAGCCTTCATTGGTAATCTACAATGT